GTGATAATCTCAGCATTAGTCTAGCACTTTTCTGCGCAGCCTGTCTTGGACTGGTCTCCGAGGAAAGCTTCTAAGGGACTTTTCTGCCATAACCTGCAGGATTCCTTCATCTACACTGATGGCCATAGTACTTCTGCTATAAAAATGATTGCAGTCTGCTTCACAAACATCTGCACCTGCACCTGTCTGGTTTGTCTGCTGCCATCATTTTACCCTCGTATTATTCCTTCTTCTTATTGCAGCTCTACCTCCCCTAGCACGAACCAGCAGTACCTATCTGTCCCCTTGTGGTCATATGCCTGACACAGGCTTGCTATTTCATAGGATCCCTTTAGGTTGACCAAAACCTTTCTGCAGATAAGTGGTCTGTGAAAGATCAAGGTGTGAAAGATATTCTTAATGACAGCAAATTTAACAGAGCACATGGAGGCTAAGAAAAAACAACAAATGACTTCAAAGAAAGGTCTGAGAGTACTGTACTTCTGCTCGTCCTTTGAGATGCCTGTTGGGTTAATTGTGAGTCCCTGAGCACCCCTAAGGGCAAAAACCCGCTCAGAGTGGCTGCCCGTATCAATTTATACTGCTACTTTACACTGTTACTGAAGTATGAAGGAATACAGAGGAAATGCTTCAAAATGTTTGTCTCGGTGCTTCTTACTTCTTCACTGTGCCAGCTTGAGCCCCAGAGGAGGCTGGCCATCAGTCAAAGTGCAGGTTACAGACGGCAGACACTCCCTGTCGGGACCAGAAGTGGCTCTTCGATCTGCCCAGATTTACAGCCCCATTTGCAAGGCTCTCCTTAACACCCTGCCACATCCCGCAGAGCCGCTGTGGCCGTGCTCTTCCTCACAGTACGAAAACAAAGCCCAAATCATCATTTTATAAAAACACCTATGTACGTATACATATCCAGGGGCCTAATCCTATTCAGCTCCCAGCTTGGTTAGACTTCCTGCCCTCTAGTCCCATCCCCAGCATTACCAAAAGCCATCTGACAGTTCGTTTCTCTATCTGGAACGACTTGGGAGTTAACAGATTGGACCCCATTTGCTCACACTGAAATCTTCTTTTTCTTGTTTCTCCTACTTACCAAAAGTGTAAGTAATCACAGGGAAAAAAATAAAAAACCATATCTCTACTGTTCTATTTATTGCCTTCTGAGAAGTGTTGTTCTTTGTCTCATGGCTCATTAGCTGACACTAAAACTGTCAGAAAAGTTGTCTATTTTGTTCAAGCAAATTGTCTTGTTTTGTAGATCTTTTATTTCTGACTCAGTTATTCCTGAGTTATTATGAGTACAGTCCAATAAACTCATCCTCCTTTTCTTCCAGAAAAAAAAGCATTGACATAGAGGATTCTTACTTGTTTTGACAGAAAAACAAAACATTCTGAAGTCTTCCATTTGAAAAGGATTATGTTTGAATATTCTTTCCAATTTCTATTCTGGCAAACTATCATTTTTTCTATTTTCCACACAGTTAACTAATTTTGTTTTCTGTGCTTCAGTAATATCAGAGATCCCTCTTCTCTACATTCACAGAGAATTTCCCTTCATTTTGTTCCACTCCTCCCCCTTTTTCTCTTTGATGGTCAAGAAAAATGGCATCTGTAGTCTTAAAAAATACTTCCATTTCATATGAAAAAGTTTGGGAGAATACATGATCCAGTAGTCTTTCTCTCTAGAAATGTGCCTGATTCCCCACCTGCTTTTTTTTATTTAAAATCTATTATGACTTGGGTCATCCATACTTCCCCTCCCCTGCACCATCGTAATGTGCAAAATAATCCAGTAACTGAACAGCCCTAGGAAAACATGGATGATGCACACATCCATGGGAAGAAAATGTGGAAAAGTAAGAAAACTGCTTTATACAATAATAATAAACTCTAGAGCAATATAAGTCGAAGAGTAATTTAATGTGTTCTGTCTTTATGCTTCCTAATTCTAATTCAGCATTTAAATGCTTTTGCACTTGATTTCTTTGAGGAATCATGGTTCTACTGCATCAATTCCTGTGTTTCGAAGAATGTATTACCAACAATATGCTGTAAAGACAAAAATTCAGTTGCATATATTTTAATACCCTCATAACGTTATAACACTCATTTTTCTATTTGCATTGATTTTATTAGTACGTTTATGGCATGTAAATTATTTCATTTCAATATCTATAATTGCAACATTTTCATTTGTTGAGTTTTGCCTTTTTTAATACTGCCAATTGGAAATAATGAAGTTGCCTTCATTGGAGTTGGTTCAGCTATTATTTGGAGAAAAAAAATCTAGCCCTGCAACTGTACCATTCTGTGATTTCACCCATATTACTTTTTTTTTTTAGTATGTATTCTGTTGATAAATCAAGAATCCTTTACCACAATAAAAGAGTAATTATGAACCAATAGCAAACTCTTAATCCCATGCCTTTTATTAATACAAACAAACTTAGTACAAATAATCTACATAAAAGAGGGGTGTCTGCTGACACAGCCTTAACACATGCTTTCAGGTTTCTATCAGATCTGTCTTGTGCTGAATACATCTTGGTTTAAAAAAGAAGAAAACATTTGAAACAAATGTTGAAAACATTCATAAGCTTGTTTAGTATTTTTTTTTCCAAAAGGAAGACTAAGTTCAATGCTGTATGAAACAAACCTTAAAAAAAGATTTTAAGTCAGTTTAAACTTTGTTCAGGGGTTAATTAAATAACATGGGTCAAAAATCACCTGAACTTTGTTCATCTCAAATTACTTCTTTACTTTTTTTTTTGGTATTTGCTTTGGCTAAATGAACAAAGGTGTCAGTACTCTTCCAAAAGTAAAGCAAATACAGGGAACATTAACAGTCAGCTAAGAGGTCATACTCCTTGATGAACATTAGCATTAATATTTCAAAAAATAGAGATCCACTGTGGGGGGGAGACGGGGGTTTGAAAAAAGAGGCATTAGAAAACCCTTATTCTACTTTCTGTTGACTTAACACACAACACAGTAATTAAGCTTTGCTACCAACGTCATGTGAAAACCTGCCTCCTCTGAAGTAATTCAGAGAACTTTGCTCTGGCTTCTGGGGGCTGGAACTTCACTGCTGGTGCCACGGCTGGTCACGGGGCCGCAGGATACAGGACTGCTGAGCATGGCAGGAGATTTTAAGACTCCTGGCAGACATTGGGAAATCATCTCACAACCATAAAATATGTCCAAACATGCATACTTACTTTATGACTGGCACTCTCGGAGACTATTTCTTAAAGTCATGAATATATTATCTGGGCTAATTTTGTAATGCAGTTTCTTTAACTTGCAAAATATGGTAAAATATGCTTTGTATAATATTTATTAATGTGGATGAAGAAAACAGGTTTTGTTGTTTAGTAATAACCCAAGCAGAAGAGAAGCGCCTATAGAACCAGCAAAACACAAGCTGAAACTACTTGTATTCTCTCACAAAAAAATTAGGAAATTATTACATCCTTTTCCACCCTCTGAATTCCCAGCCAACATATCATGCCTAAAAATATTTACATTTCAATCTTTTATTTTACTCTGAAATTGTGGTGCTTTCCTAAGTTTAAGTCTATATCATTTAGTATTAACTTTTTCGTTTATTCCATTTATTAAACTTTACCTGAAAAACAATGTTACATTATAAAACAAGAAAGGAAATTGATTTTAATCCAGGTAGCCACAGGAGCATAAGAATATATGATTTACCATATCTCCTCAAATGACTGATTTTGCAAAAGCTTGGGTGTTTTTTGGTTTTTTTACTAACAAGTCACTGAGGAATGATTCTTGCAAGTGAAATAAAAGCAACCTATAATGCTTTAAGTCCCTAGCCAGACACCAAAATTACCACACTTACTTGAAAAAGTCTCATTTTTCTTAAAACAGCGTGCTCAGTTTTAGTGAGTGGGTTATCATTTGCTGAGATACTGTAAAAAGTCCACAATGGTCAGATATAAATAGGTAAGTCTTCTTTACTGTTCTACACATCCATATAAAACATATAATGGGAAGAGACAACTAAAAAACATAGAATCATGTTTAAGTGTGCTATTAAAACAGATTTATTGTCCAAATTTCTTTTAAAAAAAATCATGAAGTTTAACAACATTCAGAAAGGGTGATAGACAAGCAGATTTTATGATTAAGAGGTGATTCTGGATACCTCGTCATTGCTTTTCTGAAAATAAAGACTTTAGTAATTCAACTATTTTCTGTAGTGGATAAGCATTTTAAAATAACTTTATTAACTCAGAAGAACTGCTACTTATTTGGCCTATGGATTAATTGCCCAAGGAATACAGCAGCTAGAAGAAAAACTTTCAAGGCACCGTGACCAAGGGCAACAGGCAATTTTACCAAATATATCTACACCAGGCACATGACTGGACCCTGTGAAAAAGCCTTTGCATAAAAAGTGTAACTTTTTGTTTGGGCACAAGAGCAGACTAAGGAAAACAACAGAAGAAAAAAATCCCTTGTTCCAAAATTGTGGTAGTCCTCTAACTTCCAGCTAACTGTCTTGAAGCTAAAGTCCTTACGCGTAAAAATGCGGAGAGAGGTCCCATTTTGCAAGAGGAACAGCAGTGGGACAACCCCCCCTTTATTTCATCCCTGTCATTCAGAGGTAAAGCACAAAGAATGTCACTGAAGCTGACATTCATTAGCAAGTACTTCCCAAAACTGTGAACTGATCTTCAAGCATGCCTTCAATGCTTCTGCAATGAAACTGAAAATGCTATACATTGTTCACATATTGCCTATCATTTTCGTAACTGAAGTATTATGCTGCCCAGGGATTTTCTGTTTGCTATCTCTAGGCTGCTGGCTTTACTCTATCTGTTCAGCTCAGTCTCCCTATCTCCCTACTGAAACACTAAAAATCAGCCCAAGTCGGTATCTGTAGAGTAGGGAACAGAAATAAGTATCTGTTTTCTATGCATGTCTAGCAGGTAGGGAAGCACAAAAGAAAATTTTACTTTGTTCTGTCTCCTTACAAAACGTGTTTCAGTGAAGAAGCTGTATGTTTCTTTGCAAGTGTTCCTCTGGTGCCCTTGCCACATCTTTGAGGCAGACACAGGGGAAGTAGTGGTGCTGATGAGAGTGAATTAACCCTTCAAGACGTGTAATGATTTCATAATCAGGAAGAGCCAGGCTGGCAATGTTGAGGCCCAGCATCCGCGAGACCACCTCTCGGAAGTCTGCCAGCTGCAAGAGCAAACAGAAAGGAATTACTAATAAATTAAATACCAAGCAAAGGAGATGCCTGGAAAAATGTATACGTATATGCACACATACAAAAACAAGCATTTGTATTAGCAGTGCAAAATATAGGAATTTCTGCTGTTGCTCAATACAGAGAGCTGAAGAGGATGGAAACAGCCTTTTGGGGCGTACCTCAAACAACAAAACAAGTAAACAGCTGAGGTGCTAAGGATCTTGAACACAAAACACAGTTTCAAGTGTTCTTTAGTATCCTTCACAGGCATATCTTCCCTGCTGACTCATCAATGAAAACTGAGGAAAAGACAGGAAGAAGAGTTGTACTTGACCTAGATGACTGCAAACTATGCAAACAACTGGAAACTCTGGTGGGCGCATCCCACAGCATAGGCTAAGGTGCTGGTCCTGACCTCAGGCTCCTGACCACTGCCTGCCACCGCTCCCCTCCACCCTGCACTTTCTTGTGGAAACCACAGCAGAAAGGAGGAAGTTAAAAGAAAGGTGGAGGTTTGGCACATCCTTCAGTCTGACTTTGACTTGGAATCAGGATGCAGCCAAAATTCAAGATGCAGCCTGGGAAATGCTCATTTTCCCTCTGTGCATAGCTGCTGAAAATATATCATAGGAAGGGTATTTGGCAAAGTAATTAAAGAAACCAGCTTTCTCTCTGCAGTTCCAAATGGAGAGACATCCACAAGTAATTGTCATCACTAGCGACCCCGCCAGCAACTAGATTAAAAACTTAAGATCAGATGAACATGAATGCTGATTTACTCTTCTCAACTCACAACATGGATCATTATAAGCCAAACTTCAATGCCTCTTCAATGGACAATACATTACATAGCCCAAATGAACAACGCCTTAATAGCCCTTATCATCAACACACAATTAAGAGAGGAAAATGTTCCTATTTGAGGAAATATGCTTGTCTTGCTATCTATTTGAACTTCAAGATCTGCATTCCCAAGCGTGACGGAGACTCAAAATGTCACAGAAACATCGAAACCATCAAGAAGCCAGTGTGGCAGCACCCTCACTCCACCAATTATGCTGGCAGCTAATGGTAAGGAGGAGATAAACACAATCCTAAAATGGAGATAAACGCACTCCTAAAATAAAGATAAAAGCACTCCTGAAGTACGTGTCCATCCCCAAGAATACTGTGCAGAATTCTAAAGCAGTTATAACATCTCTGAGGCAAGCTGCAAAAACCCTGAAAACAAGGTCTCAGTTCCAAGACTTTGGCAATGACAGTTTGTTTCATCCCAGTACAAACCCTAAGGAGCTGCCATGAGTTCAGAAAAAAAAATATGGAAACCAAGACAGTGTAGGGCAGAAGGATTTGAGAATTCAGTTCCACCTACCTGTCTTACCAAGGCAGTGCAATGTCTTGGATGAAACGTTGGAACAATGTTAACACCAAAAACCCCCAAGTTCCCATATATTCTCTTCAACACCAAGTTGGGAGGTCACTGATGTGGGGCTTTGGCAGTGTGCTAGGCAAGAATAATTTAGCAGAAGCTAAAGATTTTTTTAAACATCTGGATCACAGACAGAACGAGCAGGCAGCAGAGCTGGAATTTGTTTCCATACAGACTTTATGTTAAAAGATCAAGGCAGCCCTCTGCAAAGATCCAGTTTTTGGATGAATTAAATCCCCACAAGACATCTGTACAGCAAACCCAACTGATCCCCTGGGAGAACATTAGGGTCTGCGTGCGCTTTGCACCAAATTTCTTGCTCTCATATCTTTGCTGTTGCAAGCTGTTCAACTTAATTACGGCAACTGTGAGTAAACCAAATTGCACTACAACCATGTATCAAATGCAATCAAATTAAATTTGTTTCACTGACACAGATTATTGATCCAGCAGAATTTTGCCAGAGGGAATAGATACAAATTAAAAGGTATACTCAGTCATCTCACTCTTTATTTCTGATGGGAAAAGCAGGTCATAGCTATACTGAATGGACAATAAATATGTTAAGAATTCAATAACTTTCATCAGCAAATAACCTAAACTGGAAAGCACACAGAGCCCTTAAAGAAAGCCTTTAAGCCATTTACTTATATGCATTTTAAACTGAGGATTTTTTTTCCACTTTAATGGAATGACACACAAAAACCAACTTTTCTGACTACTATATTGTACACTGCAGTGTACACTGAAGTACACTGCAGACAAAGCTGTAGTTCAGTGAAAATGCAGAAGAAGGGTTGACTACGAAGCAAAATTCTCCACATACACTGACAAAGAGAATCATCCCACTTGGATGCAAAAATGCCCCACCAGGGAATATCAATCTGAATTTTTAAAAGTCCAAACAAAAGCAGCAGTTGATACACACTGGATGAACTTTAGAATGCTATCTCATGTCTCACATGGAGCAAGATGCTGTTTACACTCTTAAGTGGATACAGTGCTGTAAGCACATCATGAACAACTTTTTAAAATCTTGCACTAAAACGTACAAGACCTAGAAAAAAAATTAGATGAGAAATGTATTTCAGGTTTAAAAACAATGCAGCAGAGGTATTAAGAACACAACAGTTCTGCTGAAACACTACAGGCTAATAGAAGTACCACCTAACTCTCTATTTAAGGCTTTCTTCAATAGCAGTTAATATTTCTAAGATAGTCACAATTTGAAGTAAAGGAGAGAAATAATAAAAGACAAACATGACTAAAGACTCAGAACCAAAGGTTTGCTACAGCAGTAAGCATTCATGATAAATTTTCTTTGCACCTTCCATCCAGAGAGTAAAATTATCTAAAGTAAAAGACAGGAAATGAATGCAATTTAGAGTATTAACCCGGGATATTAGGAGGAGGGAGCAGAAGTAAAAATCAGACACTACATTTTGTTTTCACCCTGTACCTACAAGAAAGCAGAAGGGGTCTTATTCCAATAGAAAGAAAAAAAAAAGGGAAACTAAGACTGGAAAAAATCCTTATAACAAAACCATCAAAAACTCAGCCAAAACACTGACATTTATATTCTTACTCCAAGTACTCCAAATAAGGACTTGAGTAAAATTGATATAAAAATAAAATATATTCAGATTTTAATCTGTAGTTGACTGCAGTGGTCACATACTGATGTTATCAGTCCCTGTGAACATCCTTTTGTCATCAGTCGTTATGCATACCCTTTATCTAGTCTTATTAAAACAAATGTCGGCTATACTGATATTTATTTATATTCAGAAATATGCAATAATGATATATGAAGTCAGAAAGGTTTTCTGTTCACCCCACAGGCAGAGGAAATCCAGTATGGATTTACTCTTGTAAAATTTAAATATATCCAACTAATTCCCCAATATATATCCATTCTAGTAATCTCTACTTTTTTGAGTAGAGTATAGCTTCACCTCTCCAGTTTTTACTCTGCAGTATGATTTAATAATGCTTTGAACACCTTTTTTTTAATGGTTTTATATGTCTACCCAAGAATATGCATGCTTTGCTGTTATTCGCTACAGTCACCAGAGCTGACTGTTAATCCTAAAGCAGACTGGCAGTGTTATTACACCCTTCTTATAGGGCTTCACTTCTAACGATCTGGATGCTTTGATTCTGTGCATTCTCTTAAAAAAAAAAAAAAAAAAAAAAGGAAAAAAAAGGAACAAAACACAGAAATGCCAAAGCTAATTTTTCCTCTCAAACTTGGTAGGAATTACTAGTCTAATGAGCAAAGAACAATCAGAAACACCGTGTTAAATCCCAATTATGAGTTAATTTTAAGTTCTTTCAATCCGATCTTAATTTCTTATTTCACTTGGGTATGTTCTGCCTTTCTTTATGATCACAAGACAAATCAATGTCTTAACCAGTCGGCAGTAGTTCAATTCTGCATCCTTTTAATTTTGACAGCATGGGAAATAGCCATGCGATATTACGATGTTTTTTAACATTACACATAGTGATATCCATGGAAAGCAGAGTATACCTGAAAAAAACATGCAAATACATGCCCAAGCGGTCAACCTGGCCACATCAACAACTCCATCAGGTAACGGCAATTTCAGTTTCCAGTAGTTTTCTTAACATGCATACACACACAGATGACACGGCTGTGCTTATATTCAGATTAAATATATACACACTTGCTCAGAGAAGTATTTAACATCTGCATTTGCTACCTTTTACAGAGAGTGGGAGAAGTCTGGTCTTGTTTAGCTTTCCCAAGAAGGAAGAATGATTGAGTCCAAAGCAGGTGAAGAACTACACAGGGTTGGGGATAAGGAAGGAATTCTCCTTGGGTAATGGTTTGGGAGAAGTCAGAAAAAAATAACACGTGTTGATTAGTGAGAGAGAGAGTTTAGAACGAATTCTCTGATTTAGCAACAGTAGCTTTATTTTAAGGACAGATTTTAGCTAAGTAAACTGTTAAGATACAGGACAGTATGCTATGAATATATTACTGGCAATTCTCATATTCTTAAAATGCCGTTACTGCTAATCAGCACTGCACAAGTACCAGGCATTGGTTTTGCAAACAGCTTTGCTCCCAGTTTAGCAGTATAGTTCCACCTGCAGGTATTTGAAATGTTCCTGTGGTGCAGATGATTGTGAATTATAAGTTGATGTTTTTCTTTCACTAACCCAGAAAGCTTGAAAACTACTGTTATGCTGTGCTTGAGCTTTCTGCACTTTGTAGCCCACTTACCTCACTTTTCCCATGTTCTTCAAATTTGGCCAAAGAACACTGCAACAGTATTCAAGTGGCTTGAAATGCCTTGGGTTCAGTCAGTAAAAATCCAACATTTGTGTGTTTTCAGCAAGTACTCAATGATGACCCCATGGAATAATTTCCTGAATATAATTCATACCTTCTTCTGTGTGCAGGATGCTTTATTTCCTCATGAGACATATGAAGAAATTAAATTTTCCTGCCAAATTTCTAACCTTCATTATAAAACAAAACAGTGATAAAGCTGTCCAGGAAGAAAGATCCCCAGGTTGTTGGGTTTTTTCTCCACGTGAGCAAAACAATATTTTTCTAGACTCATTTTTTGAAATAGCATTCTTAAATTTCATCCAGATTCATTGCTAAGGCCAACATATAGCATAAAAATTTAGCTGGAAAAACTAACAAAGTTCTAAGCAGTTGGAATAAGGAATTTAAAATTACACATTTTTTACTTTAAAGAAGTATCCCATTGGCTTTCAACAATTATGCCGTCTATAATGTTGCTACAAAACACAATATGCAGGGCAATTACATACATACTTCACAATTTTTTGAAATTAGAATAGAACACATTTACTAATGTGTTTCCCACAAACTCCTTATACCCTCCCCAAAGTGAGTTACCACAAAAATTTTTCTTACCTAAACTTTAACAAACTTATATGTCACAAATCAATCCAAAATAGCTACATTCAATATTAAGTCTGGTTTGTTTGTTTGTTTGTTTTTAATTTTCTGATCTTTTCCAACATTCTTTGAATTTATGGCCTATACATGGTAACATGCAAGTAAGTTTTATACCTGAGATACGTGGAAAAAACATACCTTAAAAAGATACTAGGATTTTAAAGTATTTTTATACTTCTCCAAAAGGTAATATAATATTTTGCAGTGAACAAAGAAAACAATGCCTGTATTTATTATTCATTCTATTGCATATATAACTTGAAGAATAGCTTTGCCTCTCAGAATCACAACTGCACTCTGGCTTACAAGTGTGAGCTAAAATTTCTTTGTTTAATAATGTTCACAAAAGTTTTCAGCACAGCTAAATAGCTGGTCCACCTATACCACATTCTTGTATTCTAAGTGACAGCTAGCACTTGTCAAATACCTATACACCTACCTGTCTCTCTCTTTTTGCTAATTCTGCAAGGGTTGTTTTAAGCACCTTCATCTCACTTGTAACTGCTTCTAACAAACTTTTGTTTTTTTCTTTATCTTCAGTAGCTTTACGCTCCTTTAAAAGAAGTTCTGATTTGACAGAGGTAAGTTGTTTCTCAACCTTTTCTTTCATTCTTTCCAATTTGCCTTGAGACTTATTGAGTTCTTCTATTGTTCTGTTCTGCTCCAAAGTTTTGATCTGCAATAACAAAGTAATGTTAAATTTGTCACACTTTTTCATCTAACATGAACAAATAATAAAGATAATCAGGAGTAATCATGAGTAAGCACTTTAATGTGGTTTCTTATGGATTCTTGAAATCACATGTACGCGTGAACTGAAAAGTTATTAAAGGAGACTGGCCAATTTCAACTCCATTAACAAAAAGATTTTTGTTTCAAAGACAGTTAATTCTGTACAGGTTTTGTGAAAAGAGATAACTGGACAGACAAAAACCCACAGTGAGAGTTCACTCTCTGCTAACCCCTGGAAAAATAGTATGAAATGCTGGTAAAAATCCTTCAGTTGGAATATGCACCTACTTATCTATTCGCTCCATCAGCTATAAGACACAAACTCACATAAAATCAATCTTCCTTTCTTCCAGTGGTGGCAAGCTATCAATGATTGCAAACTACTTGTTTTCACCTGAGTTAAAGCAGGTAATTTATTGCTGCATTTGCAATGTAATAAAACACAGGAACAATGAAAATGTAGCATCTTGCTTGGTTTATGCAGAAAAAACCCTTTTTTTCCCCCCATACCTATCAGAATAGATCTTCTGCGAGCAATGTATGGGAAAATATAAGATTACAGCCATATCGACAGGAAAGAAAGGGATGCACATATCGTATTTTTCTTACACTAGCCTGAAAATTTACATTGTGCTTTACAGATGCTACTTAGTACATCACAACAAATTGCAATATACCCAAAACATTGTAATATTATATTTGCTTTCCCCACCTAGATGGATTTGAGCAGTTCTCCACGAACACATTTATTGTAAATGAACTCCAGCTGTATCCAATTGGAACAGAAAAATGGATAGAGGCACAAATGTAATCTTTTAACTCACCTTAAGTTCATTGGTTTCAGATAGCTTGGCTTTGAGATCAGTATTCGTTTCTCTTGCCAGATCAAGCTGCTTCTGTAACCTCTCTATCATCTTATGTAACTTTCTGACAGCGAGATTGGCCTCATCCCTCTCCACAGCTAAGGCGGTCCTTACTTGCTTCTCTTCTTCCAGCTGGGTTATTTTCTGCCGCAGAAGGTTCATGTGCAGCTCTTTGCTTTCAAGTTTTTCTTTCTGAGTCTTCAACTAGTTTTCCAAACACAAGGATATTTGAAAAAAATATGTGAAAGACAATGGTACTACAAATTTAATCCCCATGTTGCATATTTAACCTGAACTCCTATTCCTCTCTTGAAAACTCTGTAAAGCAGTATGAACATATATACACTAACTTGATACCTCTTATATTACCAGTTCATTGTGCTTCTCCATCCCTGAATTTGTGCACTACCTTTTAGAATGATTTTACATACAGACTGCACCCTATTTGAACATAAACACTTGTGCATCATTCATAACATCTGAGATTGTCTGAAGTATAAGACACTAGTCAAATGCAAGAGGTAAGAGAGATTCATGAAGGAGACAGTGGTTTCAGTGGTGGTAGTTTAAGATATTTCCATCTTCAATCAGTTAATTAAGGCTAGTGTGCAAGAAGGAGAATCAACATACAGAAATAAGAAAACTTTCATCCACTGCTCCAATACAAGGTCCAGCAGCTTAGTTTTGTAATTTTGGTGCTCAGGGAGCTACCTGTTTTCAGTTTACCTCAGCTGAGTTGCCAGGCTTTACTCTGGAACATCTGAGGAGTATTAACATACATACTATACTCCCTGCTAGAGACGTAGTTGCTTCCTGAAAAAATACAGTGTTGTTTTAAACCTTAAACAGACCTATTTCTAAGCTCTAAACCATTCTGATAAGCCTAAAATCAGAAGATTTCACTCTGTCATACCAGGGTGACGGACGGGTGTCTGACCAAATTTGAACAGATTTGCTCCTAAAGGAGCACAGTTCTTGTTGGAAATGTTGAAATTCTTAGTGAAGTACACCAACATTCTACTAGTTTCTAGACAAGTTTGTATAAGATGCGCCCCTTCTCAGCAGATCCTTTTAGATTTAAATATTGACAGTAGTTGTTTACAGACGTATATTATAAATGTCTATTAAAAAGTAGACATACGTACACAGAAACATGCATAACTTTATACATTTATTTAAGAAGTTGTGAAAAGCAGTATTATGTATTTAACTGACCGGTGGGTTTAGTTGTTTTAATATGCAGTCTGTTTGCACAGTTTGCAAATGTTTGCCATCTTCTTTTTATGTAATGGACATCTTTGAAATTCTTTGTACATATATGAAGGTCCAATCTGCTGCTAATAGAAAGTCACTATAGAAATATAGCTATAACAATGTTTATCTTTAAAACAAACAGGAATGGTATGTCTTTTTTGCCTACCTTCCTTCTCAGGCTATATGCCATAGTCTTGTTTTCAATCACTGCATCACCTTCCAGTTTCACTAACTGCTCTACCCGGGCTAGAATCGCATCCACATTCATATCAAATCCAACCTCTGCTGCTAGGCTATCCAGCTTCATCTTCTCATTAAGTTGCTCCAGAAATTTCAGATACTAATATAAGATGTGGAAAAGTGGGTAAAAGAATAATAAAACTTCGTTAAAAGTCCTGAAGTACAATTTAAAAGCAATTCCCACTACACCAGCAACCAACTATATATATAGCCAAGTCCACTAACCACAAGAAATAACATACTGAAAGGGTATGTTTATAGTACATACTGCTGACACAATTGCAAATTCTCCATTTGTCCTTTTTTAGTCAACATTTATTTTGTTCATAAATCTCTGGACCTAATGTATTTATCTTCTTAGCAAGACCAGATTGTTTTTTGCTCCTCTGCAGTAAGAGCACTAGGTGTGTGTGTCTGCCTCTGAGTCCAGCTCCTGTCTGTGGCTTTGCTGCTTTACACGACCATGCATTGGCAGGGAGAAGTAAGTTAAAAAGCACAGCTACATCCCAACTAATTGCACGTGCTGTGCTTGCCCACTGCTGTGATCTCTAAAACAGATATAACTGGTACCAGGTATGCCATGAGTGAGATCCAATGTGGTCTGAGGAGACCATGTTAACATGGTCAGTCTTTTGCCCTTCTTTGGAACAGCAAGTTTTAGAGATAACAGTTATTGGTTTACAAATCGCTTTAAAGATTATTGCAATTGCATCTCCATCTGGTTTACTGATGTAAACACACACAGGCATTAAATATTATTTAATCTGGTTTCTCCTTCTTTTGTCCTGCCCTGCAATCTCTTTAAAAATTGCATTAGTTCCCTGGTCTCAATTAGCCTCTCTTGCAAAATCCAAAGCTCTCCTTCTCACTAAGAATTACGTCTGCCTTTGTTTTCTCTTACTTCTGTTGCAGGTCATAATCTTTGTAAAGAAACAACAAAGAAAAAAAAACAACAAACCAGTTCCATAACTGTTGCTTGAGCCCAAGACAATAAAACATAGCAAGAAAACAGCAGCAGCAGCAGAAAGCACTGAAGTTGTTCATTAACAGAAAAAAATCACAACAAAAATCTCTTTATTGCAGCAAAATCTAGAGATAAATTAAGAAACTAGGGCCACATGTTCTTCACAGAGGAAGCAGAGGAGAAGGAACAGCTCCATTTTCTGGTTTGCTCCCAATGTGGTGGATGCTTCATTCATAAAAGTTATTGTATCATAGATTAATGCAAAACAGACAGCACCAAGTTCTTGATTCTTTGCAAATTCAACTTTCTAAGCATCGATCTTGGCCTGGACACATGCTACAACTTTGTCTTTCTTAGCTATATTGGATGGCTGGTTTAGCTTTCCAGGTACTATGTCATTTTTCAAACTCTCAGTATGCAGATGTGTTATAGGCTAACAGTGTGTTTATTCATACAATTAATAAAAAAATCCTGGTAGCCTTGATGGTCCAAAGGTATAAAAGAATCAAGGACTGCAAGATCTTGAGAGACTGCAGACCAGATGATATATTAGAGAAAGACAGAGAGATCAGAGAATCCTTGAAGGACTTCTGATGTATTTACAGAGACTTCTTTTAACCTGGTTTTCTTTCACATTAAATGGACTTTGAACTCAAAAGCTTAGCTACTTTTTCCAACTAAAATTGTTGGTCAAAGAAAAGATATTACTACTCCCTACATGATGCCTGACTTGGCTAATTCGCATTACTTGCAGTACTGTGAGTAATACTCCAGCTGATCAATGCAATACAACCAGATGTATCTGTCTTTAGTGACTTTTATGCAAAAGAAAATAATGCATGCAACTACTTTTTGTCTCTCAAGCTTCAAACCATCTTGCATCAGATCTAGAGACAGTAATTCCTCTTCCAAGTGTTTCAGTTGATCCTGGAAAGTCTCAGAACATTTTTCAGCTTTCCTGCTCCTCTCCAGAGCTGCTTGGTACAATCTGGTCTGATTTTCCAAAGCTTCAGTCAATTTAGCTATTTGAGTTTCAAGCTGAGATACCACCTAGGGAGCAAGCAAACCAACAAAACATACGGGGTTAGGTGGGTGTGGAAATGTTAGAAAGATATGAAAGATGCATTCTCAAATTATTAAAAAGAGGGTAAAATATCTATCTTTAAAATATATACATTTAAAAAGACTAAAAGAGAAAAATCTCTTGTAACCACCAGGAGAAAATGGCAGAAGTGGTGACATTCAGTGAGACACCCAAAAGTGAACAGCAGAAACTGTATTTAAGATGAGTCAACCAACTAAGAGGGGCTAATATCCATAAAAATTTAATATGAACTATTTTAGACACAAGCTTTCCAAAGATGTTAGCAAACCAGCAATACGGCAGTCAAATAATATTCTTTAAAATAAGCCCATAAAATCACTAGTCTATCGAGAAACCGAGTGGAAAAAACAGATAGGAGTGATTTAGAAAATATATGCAGCATGTAGGTAAGAATGTAGATATGGATAGCTAAGTCTCAGAGGAGTGCTTCCCAATTGTTAACTGTTAAAAGAGTGTTTAACTCAAAGATTTTGCTTAAAAAAAAAAAAAAAAAAAAAAAAAATTCTGTAATCTAGCCAAAGCCCAAGGCTAAAAGGATAAAATCTCATAACAAGAAACTAGTCTAACAGTTCTGAAAACACTTTGAGCTCTACACTGTTAACTTTGCAACACCTACGTATAATGTAATGGATTTTAAGTTGTAAACTACTTATCAATTAAATGCTTGAAAGCGTCTGATTACACTACTGCCAAATACTAAAAGTTCTATCCAAAAAGTTGCTTGCTTCCCTCTTGCCCTCTCTCCTCTTCTTACTGTCATATAATTATTTGGTTACGTAATTAATTATGTTGCATTTGTAACTCAGTGTTCAGACACTCATCTCCAAGCAGTCTCTTCATTTTAAGCATCTGTTTGCCTCCTGTTAACAATAAGCACACAAAACTCCCATTTTTTTTAATGGCACAGACAGGTTTCCAACTTAGACTGCAATTAAATACAAACAATAGTTTGCACCCAATCTGGCTAAAAAACACTGAGAAATTACTGCTGCTCGTACAGTGGTAGAAAACACTAAACAATAATAAAACTGCAAGAACCCTCACACACATTTTATGCTTTTCTGCATCACATATCACTCCGCAGGAAAGTAAAAAAAGCTTTCAGCAACTTGTGCCCACAGAGACGTGCTGCTGCTGGAGAACCCACAGCCCTTTATCAGGATGCAGACCGGCTCTGGGCGCAACCCAGCTGCATGGGGCTTTCACAGGCTTCAAAGGTCCATAAACATGAGAAGGTGAGGGATCATATCACAGAAGGTGAGACCACAAAACCACCAAGCTGCTGGCTTATCTTCCAGAGCATCCTGGAGTAACCTTCATCCTTGGCCTAGGGACAATCAACAACTTAGGGATTTCCTAAAACAGAGTTGCACCCTTATTACCCACCCACGCCTGTATCCAGCGACTTACAAAGGCTGCATTTTTGGTCCTGCAGTTCTGACCTCCACAATTTCCTGTGCCAATAACTTGTGCAGCTTGATCAGCCAGCCTGCAAAAAATGACTTCCTGCTTTTTGTGGCTGCCAGATAATTTCAAACGAAGACCTTCTATTTCTTGTGTTACAAGAAGTTGCAAATACTCAGTTCCAGGGGAAGCTCCTACCTTGAGGACAGCAGGGTTCATCCCTGCCGCTACTAAATAACCCTCACTAAAATCTTCCTGAACTTTATTTTTCTCTTGTGCTAAGCTTTTATTTTTTCTTGTGCTAAGAAGAGGGCATGTGCAAGCACCAGGCCCAGCCCCACAGCACACCAGAACAGAAAGTTGGCTACAGCTATGCAGTCAGTGGGGCATTTCCCTCAACAGCCCAAAAGTCACAGACGGGCACACGGTGGACTTAGGATGAATGCAAAAAAGCAGCATGCAGAATGAAGTTACAAGGTCCTTAACATCACAGTGGCAAATTTTTCCTCTTTTCCGACGTAACAACTAAATATTCTCATCTTCTTAGTATTATCTTGACAATCAATAAGCTATACTGTTCTGGTTTCCTAAGATGTTATCTTAAACTTCCACTGTTTTATGTGTGCCCATATATGCACACACATGTGTGCACCTAGTACAAATGTTTTTTTTTTAAGGTCCCTGCCAGCTGAATAGCATAGGTTTGGGCCCCTCACTACAAGAAGGACATTGAGGTGCTGGAGCGTGTCCAGAGAAGGGCAACGAGGCTGGTGAAGGGTCTGGAGAACAAGTCTTGTGAGGAGCGGCTGAGGGAACTGGGGCTGTTTAGCCTGGAGAAGAGAAGGCTGAGGGGAGACCTCATCGCGCTCTACAACTACCTGAAAGGAGGCTGTAGCGAGGTGGGGGTTGGTCTCTTCTCCCAAGTAACTAGCGATAGGACGAGAGGAAATGGCCTCACGTTGCACCAGGGGAGGTTTAGATTGGACATTAGGAAAAATTTCTTTACTGAAAGAGTGGTCAAGCCTTGGAACAGGCTGCCCAGGGAGGTGGTGGAGTCACCATCCCTGGAGGTATTTAAAAGACGTGTAGATGAGGCGCTTAGGGACACGGCTTAGTGGGCATGGTGGTGTTGGGTTGACGGTTGGACTCGATGATCTTAGAGGTCTTTTCCAACCTTAATGATTCTATGATTCTATGATTAGAGCTGCCACATCTTTTATCATGGTACTTACAACTTGTATTTTGCTTTACTGCATTGCACTCACCATCCCAAGCTGAAAAGTTCTTGTCCGTTGAGTCTTTCCTTGCATGGAAGCCCCTAGACACTCTCACGGCCTTCCGTGGTACTTTTTGAAGGCCCTTCTTTTGAATGAAATTATCATAACTGTGTGTGCTATTCAGAATGCAGCAGCCATGGATTTATATAGTGGCATAATTATGGTTTTCATTTTCTTCTTTTTTCCTAATAATTTCTCACATTCTAGTTGGTTGGGGTTTTCTCGGTCAGCCCTAAGTCAGTACATACATTACTCTGCTTTTATCAATGTTTAATTTTATTTCCCAAATTATTTTCCACTCAATTCTTTTGCTGGGAAGGGTAAAGTGGATAAATCTCTAAAACTAAATATGCATTTATTACAGAAAAATTATTAAGAAATGAGAACAACAGGAGATTTTAATGGGAGCAATAGTAGAGCCTAATCAATTCTGGCATTTAAATCATAGAATCATTAAGGGTGGAAAAG